GAAGGAATGGAAAAATGACCGTCATTCTCACTGTGGGTTGATGCAAATAGTCCTACATGCGAGCCACTTGCCAAGTGCCCAAAATGTGATCATGTGTTTGTGGGGTGTGTGTGGCCATCAGAATTTAGAAAGTGGGTCATAAGTAGCTTCCCCTGAAGGGAAAGTCCATCATGTTTTTGAAAGGTCACTAAGTGATTGGTTATTCAGCAAGGATTCCCTCTACACTTTTGTATCCAATTAGTAAGAAACAATTCAGAACTTGAATAGGCAAATTCCAAATGTGAAATACTGCTATTCTCCTAAAATACAAACTAATGCATAAATTATTTGCAATAATTCTTTGTGATTGTTTTTGGTTGTTTGATTTTAGTAACAGTAGAGTTTTATATTTGTCCCCATTATCCAGAATACGTCCATTGTTATCTCTGACTCTTAAACCATTCCATGTACAAGTAGTCCTTATGACTGGTTGCTTAATGACTGTTCAAAGCTATGACAGAATTGAAAAAAAGTTATCTTCAAAGTTACAACTGCCACATTACTATGATTGCATTTGAGGCACTTGGCCACTGGCTCACATTTACAATCAGTTGCAATATCCCATGGGCATGTGATCACATTTTGCAATATTTTTTGTTATTCTCTAGCAAAAACACTTTTTGGATAGCTAGATTCGGATTTAATGTACAATCATGTGATTTGCTTAATGAACATTATAAAAATGGTGTAAAATCAAGTCAAGTCATGTGACAACTCAACTAATGACCACAATGAACTATGACCAACATTTCTGGCTCAATTGTGGTTGTATGTTGTGCACTACCTGTATTGTCTTAAGCCAGTCTATTTTCTTCTCATACAATAAGTTCTGCATTCACTCTTGTTTGCTATGCATGTAAAATTAAGTTACTAATTGAACGTTAATACATGTGTGAGGTAGTTCTCCCATGACGCTTGTTTTTCTTTTTGAGCTAATGACCCTGCACTGTTTATAAGTTTTGAGCATGAGTTGAACTAATTAAATATGCTGTTCACATGCTACTTTATATAATTTGTTCTCGTGTTGCAAGTATATTTATGCACAATTCAGAAAGTGATATATTGTTCACAAACTTACATTTATCAGAAATTTATTACAAACACCATGTGGCAGGTGCATACAGTTTTAAAAGGTTGTGTGTGGATCAAGTGACCCACAAAGGGAATTTTTATTTGTGTCAAGTGATTTATGCTTAAAAGCATAGCTCTGGCAATTAATGTAGATTACATTTAAGATGATTCATTTTTATAGCTGCAGCATAATAAGGTATGAGCGTATCTTAAAATATAGCAAAACTAATCATTCTTCTAAAAAGATTCTAGTCCTTTTAACAATGTTTCGGATGCATAAAGGCTAGCTGAAAGAACTGGATTAAAGCAAACAGCACAGACCATCTGGCAGAAAAAAATGTTCCAAATTTTAATTTAACCATCTGGGAACTTTTTTCTCAGCGCATTTAGGAAACCCAATAATCCACTAATTTTGGCTAGGTGTTTCTGCAAAAATTCATCCTGTTTTTATCAGAATTCATTTAAAGGTACAACCAATCATCCTGTTTTGCACTTTCTTGGTATCAGAATTTATACATATAACTTTTATCGATAGGGAAAGCAAGAAAATTAAAAATGATTGGGAGGGTTCTAGAATGTATTGGCTTGGTGGTTATATATGGACACATATATTATTCAAAACTCTCAAATGCTTATTTTTCTGAATTCTGTAGTCTCAAATTTGAACTTATTACATATCAATTTCTGTTCTTTACTACATGACTTGCTATGCACAAAATTTTTGGCAAAGCATTACACCTTTATCAGTATCATAATAGCCCACCTTTGATGGCCATATAGTTTTTAACAGATAGAATCTGACAGTTCTGAAATCTCAAGATAAATGGTCCTTTGGTGACTTCCAGCACTGAATAAATTCTATAGCTATGAATCATTATCAGAGAATCAGCCATGTGGAAATGAGAAAAAAGAATAATAATTGTAGACTTGAGTGCAGGGACAAAAAAATCAGGTGTCATGCTTTTTTTTTATTATTAAAAGCAGCTGCTTCAGGGCCCTCCTATAGTTTGCATTATTCTACACATGCCTAATTATAATTTGGCACAAGATGAATTCTTGGTAGTAGAGCTAAGCAATTCAATTGTCTTTGAGCTTTCTGAAATGATCCATTTAAAAATCGTTTTGTCTGGTTGTTTTGTAACCATGAACATGTATGTATGTATGTATGTATGTATGTATGTATTTATTTTATTTCTATACTGCCCTTCTCCCGAAGGACTCAGGGCGATGTACAGCCTGATTAAAAGCACAAAGACAGACAGAATTTAAAATAAATTAAAATTATTAAATGATAGGCTCAATTTAAAACCCCAAATTTAAAATCCCATTTTAAAACCCAATTAAAATCTTTACCTTGATAGCCCAGCCTGGTGGAACAACAAGGTTTTTAGGGCACAGCGAAATACACGGAGATCAGAGATTTTACGAATTTCTGGGGGGCAGCTCGTTCCAAAGGGCAGGGGCTCCCACAGAGAAGGCCCTCCCCCTGGGTGTCACCAGCTGACATAATTTGGCCAATGGCACCCTGAGGAGACCCTCTCTTTGGGAACGGACTGGCCGGTGGGAGGCTACTGGTGGCAGAAGACGGTCTCGAAAGTATCCAGGTCCAATGCCATGGAGCGCTTTAAAGGTGGTGACCAACACCTTGAATCGCACCCGGAAGGCCACTGGGAGCCAGTGCAGCTCGCACAGGAGGGGTGTCATGTGGGCATAACGAGTTGCGCCCATAATCACCCGCGCGGCCGCATTCTGGACCAGTTGGAGCCTCCAGGTGCTTTTCAAGGGGAGCCCCATGTAGAGAGCATTGCAGTAGTCCAGTCGGGAGGTGACAAGGGCGTGAGTGACTGTGCGCAAGGCGTCACGATCCAGAAAGGGCTGCAACTGGCAGATCAGGCGAACCTGATAAAAAGCCCCCCTGGCCACGGCCGTCATATGTTCTTCTAAAGACAGCCGTGCGTCCAGGAGGACACTCAGATTGCGAGCCCTCTCTGTGGGGGGTAAAGACTCACCCCCAATAGTCAGCGATGGCGCTGACTATATTGCGACGCCGGGAACCACAGCCACTCAGTCTTGGAGGGGTTGAGTCTGAGCCTATTTCTCCCCATCCAGACCCGCACGGCCTCCAGGCAGCGGGGCATCACATCAAGGGCATTGTTGGGGTGGTCTGGGGTGGAGATGTACTGCTGAGTATCATCAGCGTATAGATGGACTCTCACCCCAAAACCACAGATGATCTCACCCAGCGGCTTCACATAAATGTTGAATAGAAGGGGCGAGGCCCGACCCCTGCGGCACTCCCCATGCAAGGCGCCTCGAAGTTGACCTCTGCCCCTGTCAACATGAACTGCGAGCGGTCGGAGAGGAAGAAGGAGAACCACCGCAAAACGGTGCCCCCTATTCCTAACCCCCTCAACCGCTGCAGCATGATACCATGGTCAATGGTATCAAAAGCCGCTGAGAGATCTAACAGGACCAGGACAGAGGAGCAACCCCTGTCCCGAGTATGAGTTGCTGTGAAGCATGTCCTGCATCTACCTGAAAACTTACCTCTTTTAGAATATTATAATTTCAAAGTAGGAAAATCTCTTTGAGTTGAAAGTACTTCTCTCCAATGTTTTATGTAATCAATCAATACAAACAAGCTCAGCAACGTGCACCATTTAATCTAATCTTTATTCTAAGGCTCATTTCATGACCTCATTTAAAACAAAGCGCTTTATGGAACTTCAACAATCAGCATCACTGTCCTTATTAAAAAGGAGAATGCCAAACATCACCTTAACAGGCTGGACTGGCCTTTCGACAATTTTTTTCAGGGAAAGGAGAGGTACTGTAAAATACATCCCATACAAAAATGCAATTTTATTCTAGCATAAGCCCAGAAAGGGCTGATATAGATCAGGACTGCTGAAGGGAAAGGTTGAGCCTTGTTCTTCAGACTTTTTAAAAATAAAACTCATTAAGGAAAATATTCAGCCTAGTTTTCTTAGATACAGTCACATCAGCAGATCTCAGTGTTGTGCTTTGATTAAGAAGAGCAATAAAACTCTTTCCTAAACAGAATCTTCCTCCACTGCTTGACTTCCATCAGAAGGCAATTTATTTATCTGCTCAAGAATCTCAATTAATACACCTATTAATTCTGGTGTATCTCCAACACAGAATGAAGTTCTCTGGAGGCTCTACTGGCCTATAGCACATTTCATTTGTCTAGGACAGAGGGGTGTCAAACTCAAGGCCCGCAGAGTGCTTAGATCTGGCTTGTGGGGCCATCCTGGAAACAGCGAAGGACCAGTCTGTGGTGCCTCTGCCACATGCGGCCCTCCAGAGCTCCATTTTCACTGGCAGAGGGTTGCAGGAGGCCGTTGCAAGCGAAAATGGAGCTCGGACCACTACAGGCGGCCCAACATGAATGACATTGATATGACCACGCCCACCCTGGCCATGCCCACCCCGGCCCCCCAAGGTGAAACACAACCCTGATGCAGCCCTCAATGAAATTGAGTTTGACACCCCTGGTCTAGGATAACAATACATTTTTCTCTTCTGATTCTGGGTGCTGACTCCGGGTGTTACTGTGTCCCATCTTGAAAAGGAGGAAGATATTTTATAAGGCTCTATCCTATTATAAAACAATAGGATAGGGCTATATAAAATGAATGTATAATGTAGTCTATAATCGACCAAATTGTCAGAAAGATAGCATTATATTTTGGAAAATAGCATTATAAAAGTCTGTATTTCTGTCCCTTTGTATATTGATTTGTAAGAGACCCTAATATGACATATTGTCTATATAACCAAACTAAAGCTGAACTTGTAAGATAGGTGTGTTTTATTTGTAAACTATTTATGAGAGAGAGAAAGAGAGAGAAAATAAAGGACATCTATACATTTGTAACCAATATTATTGTTTAATTAGAGCAAATACAGTTATGAAAACTGTACATTATCCATTTTGGTTTCCAGAAATTATAAATAAAGCAGCTCATTAGATAAAAGAGTTCATTCACAGCAAGAAATTTTAAATAGACAAAGTGACATATTTAAATACATTGGCAGGATTATAAGCTGTCCAAAATGTAGTGTACAATATTACAACCAACTATAAATAACCTTTTATGTAAAATACAGCAATGCACATTTTAGAAAAATACTAACAATTTTTTATTGGAGCTTTACTCTTAAAAAAGCTTATAAATCATATTTATAAACAGAAACAACATGTTTAATTTATAAATTTTCAAAAGCCATACTTTTTGGATTTTTAAATACATATGTAATATTGTGTTACAAAATTAGCATAATCAACAACTTAATTGGGGCCTGTTGTAGATAAGCATGTTTACATAAGGCTTGTTAAAATTTAATGTTCTGATTTTTAATAAAGAAATTTTTTTCTAAACTTATAAGTAAACTATGTTTTTCTTCTTTAAAAAAATATAGTTGTTACATTTCATTTGCTGCCTTTTTGTGTTCTTCTCAATTCCATACTGGTCAAAATACAGGACTGTCAACCCATTTCTGCAAAAAATGCCACTATATTATTTTCCTGCACTAAGCAGCTCCAATTTTTGAGAATTATTCCAAACCATTTCAGTTAGAATGGGCTGTCTTTTGTGATAACTAATGTAATTATGAGAAACCTTTCTACTAAACCATGCAAATAATAGTATTAGTAATAATAATCATTAATAATAATATACAATAGGATTAAATATCTATTGAAAAGCATAATTTCTAAGAGCTAAAAATAAAAGAAAACCAAGTCCTAATTTTATTTCAAATAAAAATGCTGACTTTCCAAATGATCACACCGTGTACAGTTTTCTGATAAATAAATAAGCATGCTCCTTTACTACATTTATTTCAGTGGGGAGCGTAAAACATGGATCACATTATCAAAACAAAGGACTGTACATCTAACTGACACAAAGAATCAAATTAAAATTTGAGGCTTAAGTTTTGAGTGGCTGAGGTAAGATGACAGACTTTGTTTAGCAACATTAAAGGCATCAAGCTGATAGTCATTGTTAAAGATTTAAATGCTCTACCTGAATGTATTCAACATGAAGTATAATCTTTAAAAATGGTTATGTATGATAAGTTGAATTAACAGGTTTCACTGTATAATCAGGCAAGGCTTTAATCCTAGTAGAATTTGAATGCAACTGGGCAAAATCTCACATTGCTGACTAACTGGCAAAACGCTTCTCAAAATCTCCCACTTTGCTAATTCAGCATGCTGTTATAGCTTGATAAACCCTACAGCATTTTAAATAATTCGACTTGCTGGTCATCACCAGGAAGATATAAACTATGGCTTAAAGTTCATCATAGTGTATTGCCTGCTAATCCTGAAAAATGACTTTTCTAACTTATATTTTTAAATAAATATTATATAGAAATATTCTCACTGTGCTTATAGCACAGGCTTTATTTGTTTTCTCCAATACAGGTTAAAAACCAGTGAAGTTTTCCAGGCTGGTCAACATTATTATATTACTGCTGTACAAAGGCTTTAAATAAATAGCAAGTGAGCAGAAATCATGCATAAGCAAATGAAATGCAATCTCCCAGAAAATGGCAGAGATTTTAAAAGCAGCAGGTAATGGAATAAGACTGGTGAGTGATGCTGCTAACTATTTCTTCTAATGAGATAGGAGTGAATACTGGAATCTCTTCCACAGCAACAGAATCCTCTGAACACATTCCTCTGGCAGTCACTTTCCCATCTCCCCCACCAAAAACATCAGACAGCAAAATAGTAAGGCAGCTGTTCGGTTCTATCAACAAAAGTGCAGCTCCGTACATTTCCAGTTTAGTTACACTCTCTGTTCAGACAGATGGAGTAACCAACACACTTTATTTGTTGGAGTGCTTCAGAAAGCTGGTGTGTATGATGATGATTTTTTTCCCCCAACAGTGGCTGCTTGCTTCAGCTTTCAGAGGACCTCAAAAGCCCTTGGGCTGAATTTTCCAAGTTTCCACATTTCTCGTGTCCCATCCTAATTCCATGCCTCCTTCCCTGTGTCTGAACATGACTCGTGCCATTAAAAAGGCTGATGACACAACTGCTGAGAACTGTGGGCTTACGCCACTAGTTGTCATGACTTCACTGAAGGATCAAAACAGTTATATCATTAAGTAACTATGTTGAATCACATTCAGGCATAGCCAAAATTAAATTGGGGAGACAAGAAAGTTTACAAATCATTTTAAAATGGAAAAATGTTGGGAAAGGGTAGAATTTCTGTATGGGAAGTACAAGAGCATTCTTACCTTTCTTAATTCCAATCAAGTTAGGAAATGGACAAAAAGAATGGCTAAGCCAATATTCAAGAGCATTACCATGACAATCATGATTGAATTAGGACCCTAAAAAATGAAAAAAAAATAGATGTGATTACACTTGCAAAGTAAATAAAATGTGTCAAATTATATCATAATGACAGAATTAAAACACTTGTTATGGACCTTACGAAACCTTTGAAAAATGAAAGATTTTGAAATCGAAAGACCTTGCTCCTATTTAAAAATTCACATTACATTTATTTTCTGAGATGTCCAAAAAGCTATAATCTCTTTGTTACATATATATAAAGTAAATAACTATGATATTGTCATCTGAATTAATTTTTTTCCTTTAGAAATCAGGAAATGTTGCGAAAAGAATGAATAGCTCTAAAACTTCAAACAGTTTAAATTGTAGATGTAAATAAAGGTATGATTCCCAGATGCTTTTATGTCTATCAACATCAAACTATTAATCTCTACAAATATAAAAACAAAAGATTTTGGAGAAGGCACGTATCATAACTAAATGTTGGCCTTCTCAACTGGCAGCTCTTAATAAAGTAGTCCAATTTTCCCCAATCTGTTCCCAACCAAACTTGTTGAACTTCAACTCCATAAGCCTTACTCAGCAACACATTCAGATGGCATCAGATGGGGAAGGCACCTGTATCCAACAAACTGAGATGTTAATGAGAGCTTAGAAGAAAAGACGGTGGGAGGGGAAGCTTATAGTACTTATATACTTATCACATTTAACATTCTGCAATTCTGCAAATGGACAGACTGCAAATCTGGGCATAAATTTATTTCTGAAGAGAAAGAAAATTCTTATTTCAGGTGTGTTATCTAAAGGACCTGAATTCCTTCACAATACTGACATTTGTTCTAACATAGTTTTGAATTCCAAAGATCTTATATTACAAATATAATGTAGTTTCATTACAATTAACAGAAATAGCTTCAAAGGACTAAGTATTATGTAACTTTCATTTCTGTTATTCTGGTGTTTGTTATACAATTGTTGTCGTTGTTTTAACCATTTAGTTGTATCCGATTCTTGACAACTTTATAGGCAAGTGCTCTCCATGCTACCCTGTCAAGTATAGCTTCTAAATTGTTGATGTTCAACTTTGTATCAGATATGATGTTATCAAGCTGGCATGTTCTTTCCTTGCCCCTTCTTCTTGTTCCATTAACATCATTGCATTCTCCAACAAATTTGCACACACGACATGGCCAAAATAAATCAGATGTGATTTTATGATTTTAGCGTCTATTAATGTGTCCAGTTTTATACAATTTAACATCTCTCTGGTAGTTACTCTGGCTGTCCATAGTATATGCAATAATTTACGCCAGCACCACAGTTCAAAGGCATCAATTTGTTTTCGATCAGCCATTCTTAGTGTCCATCTTCATACCCATACATCATTATAGGGAAGACTATTGCTCTAACTAGCCTGCTTTTTGTATTTATATCAATATCTCTGCTTTTCCAGATTGTATTCATGTTAACCATTTCATTGTTATGAAATACTCTCATGCTATTCATAAAGGTAGCTGACACTGGCACAGATATCTCCATAGCACAAACCAAATTCTTTTGAAGAATGGTATTTTATATTATGGTTCTGATAAAATGATGAAATTCATTCATTCATTTAGGACAGTACTTGTTATTGATTACTGTTATTTGGTAATGGAGATTTTAGTGTTACAGGTAGTCCTCACCTTACAACAGTTCATTTAGTGGCTATTAAAAGTTAGAAGGGCACTGAAAAAAGTGATTTATGGTCAAGTGATCAAAATTCAGATTTTTGACAACTGGCTCATATTTATGATGGCTGCAGTGTTCTGGTATCATGCAGTCACCTTTTGTGACCTTCTGACAAGCAAAGTCAATGGGAAAGCCAGATTTACTTAACATCTAATTTTACTAATATTTACTAACTTAATAACCGTAATGATTCACTTAACAACTATGATAAGAAAGGTCATAAAATGGAGCAAAACTCACTTAACAACTGTCTCATTTAGCAACAGAAATGTTGGGCTCAATTGTGGTTGTACATTGAGGACTTACCTGTATGTTATTATACAGTAGACATTTTATTGGTATATTATATTTTAAGTGTGTTTTATAAACTGCCATAAGCCTAACTGGTTTTGGCAAAATATAAATCAGTCTCTATTGCATTTAATGATATCCGTAATACATGTTTCAACCTCAACTCAGCATTAACCATGACCCCTGCTTGAAGGTATAAAGATGGTTAATTTTTGATGCTCTCTGAATTTTGGTATTTGCTTATGGACATTTTATTAATCAACTAGATAGTGTCAGTGTAAGTTTAGAGTTTGCTGTTTGTTGATGTTACCTAGTTGGGTAATGAAATGGCAACAAGCAAACAACCCAGTTCAGAGAGCCCCAGGAATTCTACAATTCAACCCTGAGCCATAGACATTCTCTTTTAATGGTAATTTTTTGTCAGATTCTTAGTACATAATGTCAGTACTGCTGATGATAGTAAAGGATTGATATGAGGCTCCTAAAAGTCTTGGGTGAGGCTCATCTAAAACTCCGAACTACATTATTAAAAGAAAATTAAAAACACGGGAAGCAATACCATCCATGCTTTAATGAATTTAATTATAATTTAATTATATTTAATTAAGCTCTTGCCTTGCTACAGCAACTTCAAATTTAGTAATTTCCTCATTGTTTCCTTCTTTGTTTTACTCTTCCTATATTTCCAAATGTGGCCTGTGGTGAATTGCTCAAGTATGACACTTGCTTCAAAAAAGTTTGAGAGTCCTTTGATTCAGCTGAAATAGTAATATAACCATGTAAATCAAGAAGAAAAATAAAAGGAATGCTTCACATATCAGGAAGAACAGAAAAAGACACTCATATAATTGGAGGTGCTTTAAACAATAAAAAACTGCAGACAGTGCTCTATAATAAAATCCAAAGTGCAGCTCAACTTGTGTCTTTTAAAACATTAACAGTGTGACTCCAGAATGCTTTAGGGTGAAGCACCATAAATAAGGGCTTAGTGATCAGCCATGGCTTAAAATAGAAAAAGGCAGAATTAGTCTCTGCTTTCAGTGACTGATTGGAGCAGGTGTTTATAAGGAAGCTATAATAAAAAAGCTTTATTCATTGCTGGAGAATTGTCCTTGTATAACAGTAAGCTTAAGGTGTACAAAGGAGAAAAATACAACATTTAACTTTTTTTTTTCTAATGGGCATTATGATATGTTGGCTGGTAGGAACTATTGTATATATTAAAAGAGGGTCAGTTAAGAAAAAATAGTTTTCTTGCTGATTTTAGTTGCAGGTGTATTTTATGAACAGAATCTCACTATGAAGTACAATGAAGGGGAAGGCTCTGAAGGGCTATGCTCATCTCATCTTTTTTTTGATCTTTGTATATTTGGGCTCTGAAATACGTATATCATGCTGTCCTCTTTCAAGAAAAGTAACATTATGCAGAATGCAAAAACGAAGTAAGAACTAATTAAGACGAAGAAATTAAAGGCATGAGACAAGGGGAAAAAATAGGTAAAATTAGTTTATACTAACATCATTCATTCTATCTATGTAGCCATAACTTCCACGACATTCGTAAACTCCTTCAGATGGAGGCTTTTCCACTTCCGATTTCTGTCTTTTAGAGGATATTAAATCTACCTATGATTTCCATTGTCTTCCTGTTCCTCTTCTGTCATGCATTTGTTTTGCAATTGGATCCTCATCCATTCTTTTGATATGATCAAATCATCTCAGCATGCTGTTTTATACTGATCATTCATTCAACCCACATTAATCCAGGGCCCATTCATTCTTAATCTTATCTTTTCTGTTACTGCAACCTCAAGTACCAGATTCCTACTGCATTCAACTTTTAAGTTTTATGTACGCATCTTTCACTTCTAAATAGAAAAGAATTTATTCTTATACACAGCCATTTTAATTTCTTTAGGGTACAGTAATTCCTCATTTTTCCATCTTTATTGAACATTTTTACAAATGTAAACTATTAATTAATTAATTAATTAATTAATTAATTAAATTTATATGCTTCCCATCTGTCTGCCATCATTTTTTACCATGTATATATAACTTGGAATTATTCACAGCATTTTTCCCTGTCAAACATAATTATTCTGGTTTTGGATACATGAATTTCAGAGCCATATTCTTGTCCATCATATTGTCTAATATTTTCTGAAAATCATTCAGATTCTCAACCCACAAGCTGGAGTCATCTGCATATAAAAGGACATATCTATTAATACTCCCTACTGATGTACCCCTAACATGATCAGAAGCATTCTTTATGCACTTATCAGTAAATATTTTAGACAACTATAAAGGCTTTACAGATACTTTTATCAGTCATTGCTCATTACTGAACCATTTGCTAAGCATTTCATTTACTTTTCATTATTTACTGTTCTTTCTATATTCATTAATCAGTTTTCCATTCCACATATGCACATAATTTTCAATATCATGTGGGTTCTTTAAATCAACAAACATATTTTTATTACATTAATAAATTTCTCAATGATCTCCATTAGTAATAGAAATAAGGAGTTAGCCTTCAAAAGATCTCTTCTAGTGATACTGTGGGCTGGAAGGATTAGTTGCAATGGTCTAACTCAATGATGGCTAACCTTTTTGCCATTGCGTGCCAGGAGGGGGGGGGCGGGGTTCGTGCATGCACGTGCCCACACCCATAATTCTATGCGCCCCACTCCCACGCATGTGTGTGCGACCCTTCCTCCTGGCACGTGATGGCCCTGTAGGCCCGTTTTTCTTTCTCACCTGGCTCCAGATCCTCTCTATGAGTCTAGGGATGGCGAAAACAGCCTTCCCCACCCCCTCAAAGGCCTGAAATGGCCTGTTTCCCAACTTCTGGTTGGACAGAAAGTGACTTTTTTGCTGTCCCCAGCCTCCAGAGCCTCTCTAGGAGTCTCTAGAGCTGTGATGGCAAACCTATGGCACGCGTGCCAAGGTGGCACGCGGAGCCATATCGGTGGGCACGCGAGCTCAGCTCCGCCGTGCATGCACATGCCGGCCAGCTGATTTTTGGGCCTTTTGGGCCCACCGGAAGTCAGGAAAAAGGCCGTTCCTGGACTCTGGAGGGCCTCCAGGAGGCTGGGGAAGGCCATTTTTGCCCTCCCCAGCCTCCTAGAAAGGCTCTGGAGCCTGGGAAGAGCGAAAAATGGGCCTACCTTGCCATTGCATGCCAAAAGTGGGGGGAGCGTGGGTGGGGTCGCACATGCGCAGGGTGCATAGAATTATGGGTGTGGGCATGCGCGCGAGCGACACCACCACCCCACGCACTTCCCCCACTTTTGGCACGCGATGGCAAAAAGATTAGCCATCACCGCTCTAGAGGCTGGGGACAGCAATAAACATCACTTCCTGTCCAACTGGAAGTTGGGAAACGGGCCGTTTCTGACCTCCGGATGGCGTCCGAGGGGGTGGGGAAGGCTGTTTTCACCCTCCCTAGACTCATAGAGAGGATCTGGAGCCAGATGAGAAAGAAAAACAGGCCTCCCCCCTGCCCCTCCAGAGGCAGGAAACAGCCTGTTTCCCTGCTTCTGGTAGGCCCAGAAGAAGCTGAGCTCGCATGCCCACTGATATGGTTACATGTGCCACCTGTGGCACGTGTGTCATAGGTTAGCCATCACGGGTCTAACTTATTAGACAGTTCTCTTCATTCAAGCCTAGTTACTGGTAATTTTATTAGGGGGGTGGGAGAAAAGGAGGGAGGGGGGCGAGAGATAGAGAGAGAGGGAGGAGGAAGAGAGAGAAAGAAAGTTCTTCATATTTTATAAATATTGCAGCTCATTGGATTTTATCTTCAGTGGGTAGGATTTTTTGCCATTCTTTCTGCTGAGGATAGACTTTTTTTTACTGAAGTGGTCTAGGAAGAGGTAGGACGAATATAATTGCTTTCTTCCTACAGCTGAAATGGTCTTCAAAAAAACAAAATGCAAACAGCCTTGTAAAAAAACTCTGCATCAACGAGATACTGAGTGGATATGAATTGTTGAAAATAATGTAATTGGTGTTCGTGTGACAGATATGCCCATTATGCACTAAATACTGAAATTCTCCTTTGCTTGAAATAAGCAAAGCTATAACACTTTTTTTTTAAAAAAAAAAATTGATTTATATGCTGCCCTTCTCCGGAGACTCAGGGCGGCTTACAATACGTTAAGCAATAGCCTTCATACTTTTGTATATTTATACAAAGTCAGCTTATTGCCTCCACAAACTGGGTCCTCATTTCACCTACCTTAGAAAGGATGGAAGGCTGAGTCAACCTTGAGCCTTGGAGAGATTCGAACCAGCAGTAAATTGCAGGCAGCTGTGTTAATAACAGGGTGCTTAGACCACTGTACTATCAAGGCTCTTATGGTCTTTTAATTTTTCAAAAAGGAGGCAAGCAAGCAAACACAAATATACAGCTCTCTGGATTATCTATATAGCAAATCATATAAATCTCTTTGACAGCTAGATCAAAATACTTGGGTTTTTTTCCCCCCTTTTCTTAGTAAAATCATTACATTCAGGTTGCCAACACAAACGTACATACAATAATTCAATTATTCTACTAAAGTGGTATCTTGTATTTAGAAAAGCTTATTTATGACACATGTGCATAAATATGATTTTCACAATGCTGTTCAAGTCTGAGAATAACCTTTGGTAAAATATGCATATGTATGTATGTTTCTCTCTCTCTCTGTCTCTCCCCCCCCCCTTATCTTTATTAGCATGGCTAATAACTCCTAAGCTCATTAAACAACATGTATATTTTAACTATTACAGGTAGTTCTTGACTAATGTCTGGGGCCAGAAAATTCATCATTAAGGGGTGCAGTTGTTAAATGAGGCATCATGTGACCACATTTGATTTTACAACCCGTAATTGTGATTTGTGACCTTTCCTGTTGATTTTCCCATTGATGTTGCTCACAAATAGTGATTACGTTATCCTGGGATGCTACAACCAAGGTAAATGTGAACTGGTGTCCCAGTGTCCAGATGATGGTCATATGACCGTGGAAACACTGCAACAATTGTAAATACGAAGATCAGTCATAAGTAACTTTTTTCAGCACTATTATAACTTTAAATAGTTGCTAGTTGAATGGTTGTAAGTTGAAGACCACCTCTGTAAAGGTATTTTATACCTTTAAAAATTCAAAACACTGAAGCACTTCATTATGTTCCCCATTGTGTACCTGCTTATTATCTTGTAATCCCTTTTTCTCCAATCTCTCTTTTCTGCAAGGAGGAAATGGGAAAGCAAAACATTTCTAGCCCTAAAATATTCATAGGTTTCCTTTCATGCACTGTTATATCTGAAATCTGTTCACATATTTTTTTAAATAATATTCAAGTCTGAGAACTGTGAAACCCATTCCAAAGCCCCTTTTTTCCTGGTAGTTCTTTATGGTTATTTAGACCATAGTTTTACTGAAATATCTAAACTTTGCCACTTTCAATTCCCTCCTCTTAGAATACTTTGATATTTAATTGAATCCATTTTCCATCTACACAATAGTTCCTCTGCCATTTGCTATCACAAACCACAAAAGAATAATAAAGCTACCTTCAAGTTTAATGGCTGGCAAAGTATTCTTTTGTCAAATGCTTCATCGATTTTTCTTCAAATATATTTTGTTTGACTGAGCCCAAACAGTTCATTTTTTAAATCAATCAAAATACTTTATTCCCAAACATTTCACATTTACTAAGGCTTTATTTCCCTTGTTTTAGTTAGTGAACTTTGTGATTATGTTTCTGGTAAGATTTTCTTTTTACAACCCTGACAGTATAGACGAGTAAGCAGCTAACCTTGAAGAAGGAATGCAATAATGGTTAAATGAAGATTAATTTAGCCCAGGAAGGGAAGATGGAACAAGAAAGAAACTCAAGGCTGCACTGATTCTCTTTGGTGCAGAGAGAAATTCTGTCAGGGCAGAATGGACTAGAGTAACTCCAGCCTGTTTGAAGACCTCCAAGTAAGGAGATGTCACTTTAATTCTTAGCTCATGCAGCAACTTTTTCCACTGACTGATATTTCACATAATCAGGAATTTCATGATACAAAGCCTGAAATTTTAATATTCCTTGAAGTTTTAACTCACTGGTTCTGCCCACTTCCTTTTCTATATAACAACCCTACAAATATTTGAAGGCTACAAATATCTCCTATCATGGCCAATTCACTGCAGCCAACTCAATGCAGGACAACTCAACAAATACAAAAGTTCAACAGAACCGTGGCCAATAATAATAAAATAAAGTCAATCCAAAAATGCAAGAGTTACAATAAAATAGATGAAAATGTGGTCACCAATAATAAAAGTGACTGAATTAATCAATTAATACAGCACTGAATTATCCCGTGGTGAGTTATCCCGTGGTAAATTGGCCGTGGTAATTGTCCTGTGACAAGTTGGCTGTGGCGACTTTATAAGACTCAACATTCTTTAACCATTCCTTACAGTGTTTTCAATCTACCATACCTACCAAACTGATTTCGTTTTCCATTGAAGAGAAATCATTAGCTGGATTCTTTGGTGCAAAGGATTCCGATTTCTTTAATGATTCTTTGGCATCTAATTGATTTCCAGCTCTGGTGGGGCTTGGCTTCTGAATTGATGCTGCTGGTTTAACTGCTGAAGATGATGGGTTGCTATGGTCCTCGTCTTCCCCAATCTCATATGGATATAGTGTTGGATTAGTTTTCACATAATACCCATGGTAATGATCGTGCAACTCCCCATTCTCTTTGCTTTTGGGATTGTTGCGAGGTGACAACTTTTGGTGGTGTTTGGCCATCATTTCCTCTTTCACAGCAGGTGCTTTAGAAATAACAGGTTTGTGGACTACTGGTACAATGTTTTCACTTATTAAATTCTTTTTTTCTTGAATGAGTCTGTCTTCTGGGGTGGAATTCTGTTTCCTTCCTTGTTCTGCAGGAGAAGGCTTGGCAGAGGAGGCTGAGCTATGCTTATGGCTTTCTTCTGGACTCCCAGGAGGTGTAGTGCCCTTTCGATAGAAATGAGGAGATTCTTTTGGTGTAGGAGGATTTTCCTGAGCTTTTTCTTCTGGTTTTTCCTTAATTTCTCCTTCCTGAAATCGCTGCTTAATATAATCAGGACCTGAAATTAAAAACAAACCAACAATAACTTGAGAAGTACTCAATTATTGAAGCAATAAGAAGGAAATCTATTGGATTTCTTACTGGAAATCCTCTTTTTGGCCACGTCACAAAAGATACACATAATGCCCACAATAAAGATGCAAAAATCCATAATAGGAATAATATCCTAGTAATATTTTGAAATTGTTATTTTTAGTTTCTGTTTTGTAATTGCAAATTATTTTCCTTAAGAATGAAAGATTTTCACATTTTCTTATTATTGTAAGAAAAGAGAAATTTGCTTATAAGTATTTTTATATTTGTGCTTTTCTTTCAATAAAGACTGCTACTGATAGTGAAATACACTACTAAACTTATTGGTTTCCTGACCTGGGTCAGTAAAGTATATAGTATTTAGAATTTTATATCACAACTTGTATTTCTGAACTTACATTATCCATGTGACATATGGATGGATATGTGAGTAAATTACATTCACTCTGTGAGGAGATGGATGCTTTCTAAATAGGGTAAAAAATAAATAATTCACACTGATACTATTTAACAAGTCCATATATGTCAATTATTATATCAGAAATAGAAGTTAACTTTAAAAATAGTTAACTGTGAACAATAACAATTGTAACATTATCAGTGGAAATTTAAGTTTTCCACTATTTGAAACATGTAACTTCTGCAAGGCAATGCAGGCTGCAAGATCATTTTTCCAAAGCAGCTTCCAGAATGAAATCTCACTTATACCATTACTATTTCTTTTAATTCCTTTCACCTTCTCTCTATCTTTTCAGTACCGCAATTGCCAATATCCAATGCAGACATATGCAAAGAAGGGACTATCACTTTGCTTCTCCATGACGTTCTGCTTTTCCATACACACCTAAAATAGCATTAGCACTTTTGCACTTGTATCACATTTCAATTACATGGGCTGAACCTGCAGTGTTTGGCAGTTAACTTTCATGGGTGCAGGATCAGGTTTCTCATCTAATGTGCTGACTCCTATCACCTCTAAATTAGTTTCACAGCATTAATTTTGATTAATTTAAGCTCCTTGCTTTCACCCAATTGCTATTTATTTGTATTTTTCTTTTTGTTTATTAAAAGCATTAACATTCCCAGTCTCTCCTACCTTTGTATAATAAAAGCAATATAGGTGGTATTATTTTGGTACTAACAATCTGTCTCTGCGGTTTTTAGAAGTTTTGTGAATTTCACTGGCATTTAATCAAAATTCACTTCTAATTAAACCCTATGCTTTGCATTTCTGCAATGGCATGTGTGAGTGCGTGTATGGGCACATTCACACACACCCAGATTAGCTAAACAGCATTCCTTTATTTTACAGTTTGTGTCTTTATTGAAAACTTAGTGTTGTGCTATTTATTCAGTTTATGTGTCATAATCTGCATACCCGCTATGCACTGCAAAAAAACCGCCCCAGCTATAAACTAATTTTGTCCTATAAGTGGCTAATTTAAAACTGGACAAAAATTTGTTCTAAAAATATAGAGATACTGTGTAGCAGAGGTGGGTTTCAGCAGGTTCTGATCAGTTCTGGAGAACCAGTAGTGAAAATTTTGAGTAGTTTGGAGAACCGGTAGTAAAAATTCTGACCGGCCCCGCACCCATCTATTTTCTGCCTCCCAAGTCCCAGCTGATCGGGAGGAGATGGGGATTTTGCAGTATCCTTCCCCTGGAGTGGGGTGGAAATGGAGATTTTACAGTATCCTTCCCCTGCCATGCCCACCAAGCCATGCCACGCCCACCAAGCCACACCCACAGAACCGGTAGTAAAAATATTTGAATTCCACCACTGCTGTGTAGCACTATGATACACAAATATAGGTGGTAAAAAATGTCCAGCATTCATACATCTCCCTGTTCCTGAATCTATTAGTATCAATACAACAGCAGGTTTTAAAAAGTGCAGTATTATTATATTCTGCCAAATACAATGTTTCCAGGTGTTCTTCAGATATGCTGACATGCCAGTCCCAGAGAAACCATCAGTATAGCCTATAAAATCTAACACTGTCCTGGAAGACCCTAAGGAGAAAAAAAATGCACACAATATGTGGCAGAAGACGGAAGAAATGCTGAAAAGAGCTGAGACTTCTCCCAGGCCTCAGGCTAAGATGTGGGTTGAGCTGAGAGGCTGGTTAGATCCAGTGGTGAAATCCAATTTTTTTTTACTACCGGCTCTGTGGGTGTGGCTTGGTAGGCATGGCAGGAGAAGAATATTGCAAAATCTCCATTCTCACCCCACTCCAGGGGAAGGATACTGCAAAATCCCCATTTCCTCCCCACTCCAGGGGACAGATACTGCAAAATCTCCATTCCCTCCCTACTCCTGGGGGAAGGATACTGCAAAATCCCCATTCCCTCCCCACTCCTGGGGGAAGGGTATTGCAAAATCTCCATTTCCACCTCACTCTGGGGCCAGCCAGAGATGGTATTTGCGGGTTCTCCAAACTGCTCAAAATTTCCGCTACCAGTTCTCCAGAACCTGTCAGAACCTGCTGGATTTATCTATCAAATTCCATTTAAAGGGCTCTTAAGGGACTATATTTTCTTTTCTGGTTTGGTTTTAATTTGGATATTATTTTATATTCCATTTATTTTTGCGATCGTCAGAAATAAAGTTTTATTTAAAAAAGATACAAACCTTTGAAATTCATTAAAATGCAGCATAAGATAGAAGAGTTTAAAAGACTAGCTGTTAGTTAATTGTTAGAAATTATTGGATTGAATCCAACTAAGTCATTCTGTTGATGGAATTGCCCCTTCTCCTACATTTAAAGTCTGTTCTGGAGAACTAGCAGATCAGGTGCATTATAGGATTCTTTCCTAATTATATGGTCTAAAATGTATACTTTTAAGATAGGTTATTGGTAATCTTCCAATGTCAATGAAATTATGGCTGACAGATCATCTTCAATTATGCATCAGCTGGCTAGATTTGGACATGGATTTAGCTAGCTACTCTTCCAGAGCACCTTTGCTTTGTCTACCTATTGGGTAACTTGGCAGGTGGCTAAACCTCATTTTTAAGCAGTCACCTGTGCTTGCGTAGGTCTGCCCTGCCCCACCACATATTAAGGAGAGTGATTAGTGATAGTTTTTCCCACTGGTTGGTGATGCTGACTGAAAGAGAAAAATGAACTTGGGAAAATCCATCTGATCTTAAATTGTTATGCAATACACCTGTAAGGAGAGAAACTCTTACAAATACCTTTTCTGTACTGTAGCAGATTAGAGCCTGACCGTTGGACCATACAACTCATACAATGGTATGTTTTTTGTTGACTCAGGCTGGAAAAGCACACATTAACATGGCCATATAGGAGTGCTTTGACCTAGCATGTTTTTAAAAGTTAGGGTTATGAACATTTTGAGACTAAATTTATTTGAAACTTAAACCAAACGGGCTTTAAAGAATGGTTCCCTCTTTTGTTGTTCCTGTTGAACTACAGAACATTTGGGGAGTTGTGCTGGCTGAAAATCCAATGTTTATAAGTTATTTCTGTCGAGCCTAAGGTAGATCTGCTCTCACAACATCGTACAAGGACAGTTAGTTGGCAAAAATGGTAACAAAATACCTGAGTCATATTGAATAAAGTAAAATAAATAAAAGTATATGCATTTATAAAAAGGTAGGTTGTTACTTTTTAAAACACAAGATAGAGAATAATTTATAATAATTATAATATAATTAATACCCGTGTTTCTCCAAAAAGAAGGTTGGGTCTTATTTTCTTTTGACCCCTGAAAAAACGGCTAGGCCTTCTTTTTGGAGGGTTCTAATTATTGACTCACCTCACGGCAGTGGCACCAACAGCTCCGCCCAGCAGGAGCCCGCTGCTGGCCCACTTCTTCCGGAAAGCCCTCTGCAGCCAATAATAGAGCTCCGGATTGATCCAGAGCTCTGTTATCGGCTGCAGATGCCTTCCAGCAGGCATCTGAAGGTGAAACGATGGCCAGGGCGATGCTTTCAACTGGCAGCAAGCAGCTGCAGAAGAAGCGGCCGCAGAAGAAGGCAAGGCAGGTGTCAGGGTGTGCGAGGCCTGGTAAGTAGGGCAGCTCCACGCCCCCCCCCCAATCCCCACCCTAGCTTATTTTTTACCCATGTGCCTCACCCCACACCCTGCACCCTGGGGTGGGCGGGGTCTTAATTAGGACTAATTTTGTGGGTGGGTCTTAATTTGATCGTATGTGCTCAAAAACGTGATAGGGCTTCTTTTCAAGGTGGGTCGTCTTTTTGGAGAAATATGGTAGTAATAATAACAACATAATTGTGAGCTTATAATTTATAATAGTTATTAATTATAATAATTGTGACTGTCTCACAGTAACTGTGAGATGGACCTTGGAATCCTAGTGGACAATCACTTAAATATGAGCTATCAGTCTGCGGCAGCAGCCAAAAAAGCTAACACAATCCTTGGTTATATAAAAAGACGCATAGAATCAAAATCACATGAAGTATTAGTATGCTTTATAAATCCTTAGTAAGACCACACCTGGAACACTGCATCCAGTTTTGGTCAGCACATTACAAAAAAGATCCTGAGACTTTGGAAAAAGTGCAAAGAAGAGCATCTAAGGTGATTAAGAGTCTGGAGACAAAAACATATGAAGAACAGTTTTGGGTATGGCCAATCTAGAGAAAAGAACTAGGGGTGACATGATAGCAGTATTCCAGTATTTGAGGGGCTGCCACAAAGAAGAGGGGTCAATTTATTTCCAAAGCACCCAAAAGGCAAGAAACAATAGATGGAAACTAATCAAGGAGAGAAGCAACCTGGAATTAAGGAGAAACTTCCAATAGTGAGGACAATTAACCAATGGAACAGCTTGCCTTCAGAAGTTGTACTGTAGGTGTAGGTTGTAGGTCATCACTGGCGATTTTTAAGAAAAGACTGGAAGCCACCTATCTGAAATGGTGTAAGATCTCCCGCTTGAGCAGGGGTTGGACTAGAAGACCTCCAAGATGCCTTCTAGCTCTATTCCGATTGATTGATTGGCCATCTGATTTGGTTGTTTGCTTGCAGACATTCCATTATATGTACTCCTCAACTTATAACTGTCATTGGGACCAGAATTTCTGTTGCTAAGTAAGGTAGTTCATAAGCGATTTGCGCCCAGTTTAATTATCTTTTATGTTGTTAAGTGAGTCAGTACAGTTGTTAAGTGAATCATGCAGTTATGTGATTCTGGCTTCCCCATTGACTTTGTTTGTCAGAAGCCAGCTGGGAAGGTCACAAATGGCGATTACATGATTCCAGGATGTTGTGACCATCATAAATATATTCCAGTTGCCAAATGTCTGAATTTTGATCCTGTTGCAATGGTCGTAAGTGCAATAATAATAATAAGTCACTCTTTCAGTTCCATTGTAACTTTTAATGGTCACTAAACAAATGGTTATCAGTTGAGGACTACCTAGCCCTAACTTTTGGACCTATGTTATCCAGTCAAGTAATGAAATATCTGAAAGTACAGAGCACAGTAAGGACTCCACGGTTCAACTCCGAGCTATATATATTCTCTTAAATTTGAATTTATTACCATTTATAGACAAAATGTACATGCACATAACTGTAATCAAAAATACGTTATATTTGCTCATTTCAGTTACACATTTTTTTCTGTTATAGCACATTCAGCTGAAATTCTCAGGATATTTTGTAAAAATATATATCACAAAACAAACAGTAAAAGACGAAAATGGCAAGAAGTAAATATGGTTTTATCTGTGAAGGGTTTCCTCAAAGTAACTAATGTGAGAGAAAGCTCACAATTTCAGCCTTAACAAAGGATGCACTATATTTGACTCAAAAGGTAACTGAATCCTGCACTTAAATTAAAAATAAACAAATAAAAAGTCTTAAAACTAAACTGTATTTTACAAAGACCATCAATCTTGCAGTGGATACAACAGTTGTTCCTAACCTGATGTTCCCTACTCATCCTGGATGGATGGGAATTAGCAGGACAGCTCAGAAAGGCCTCAGATTGGAGAAAACTGATGCCCAGACTCCAGTCCAAAGGTAGACCAGTGCTGCATTAAAGAGGGGAAGAATGACTCAGAATGCAGAATTGAGGACAGTTGTGTCTCCTCTTACCAGAATTTTTTTTCTCCAGACAGATCTAGGCTTTATAGCTCCCTTTTTTGATTTTTAGTTGTGTAGATTTAGCCTGTGATTGGCCATTAAATGTCAGAAATCTTGCTTTAAGTTCTTTTCTATTAGAATAGTGTACAATTATATTTTCCTACAATATTGACTTTCAGGACATTTTAGCCCAAGAAGAGGATGTTGCTTAGCTACAGTTAGGAAATGTAGGGAACTGCCAGGATTCAGAAAAGGAACTACCAGATCTTATTAACATACGATGTGCTCTGAAAGCTGCTGGTTGTAGGGGTGAGTGGTTGCAAACAACTGAAACGTATTCGAAAATCCCCGTCTTTCTCTGAGCTGATTGATTGGTGGCAAGGATTATATTGATACAGGGATGGCTAGTGCATTAGCAATATACTAAAGTGTATTGCTAATGCAATATAGTATTTTCTCTCACAAATAACTTGTAAAGGCACAAAAGATAAAAAAGTTACCATAACTTTCTGTAATAAAAAGACGACATTATCTCAAAGCTATTTATTCATGAATTTTTAAAAGCAATATAATGCATTGTATTATGTAAATAAAGCAAAGATTCCTTCTGTCACCTGGTTGATAGAAACCCGGAGATAGTTCTCTGGCAACTGCTCTAGCAACATCACATTCCTGACGAGCAGACTGAGAGGCTTGTTCTGCAGCATCTGCTTTAGCTCTTGCATGTGCAGTTCTGTAGGGGACATAGAAATGTTCTTGAGCATAAGTGTTCTGGTACAGGAACAATCCCTACTTCTGGAAAAGAGATTATACATGTATATTTAGGCATCCTATAAGGGCTGCTGGTGTTAAATAATTTTGAAATTCTTGCACAACGTACCTCAGCACATTTCTTTCTATTTTCGGTAACAGAATATACAGTTAAATACAGTTAAAACAATCTGATGTTTGAATAATTTTGACATAAGTAAATTGAATATTGTAAAGATAGGGTACCTATGACCCTCCAGTTATAGTTGAATGACAACTTTCTGGCTCAAATAATCAATAATGAGGAGAGTGCTGGGAAATCTACTTTAGCAATATTTGGAAGATCACAGGCTCCAGATGTTTGGAGTTTTTAGTTCTGGGGAAAAAAAAGTTAGGGGGAAATGACAAAGTTTAGAAATCTGTTCTGGTATGCAGTTAGTACAGCATTTCTTTTCTGCTGATACATAACAATCGAAGTGGTCAGATTCAGGCAGACAAAAGTACATCTTCAGAGAACCATTTACTACCACCCAAACTCAGCCTCCTATCTCCTAAAGCTTTCAACAACCATGAAGAACTAAGCTTCAAAACAGCAGAGAACTTTGCCCACTTTTTCAGGACTGAGATTCAAATTCATTCTTGAAAACTGCAAGAGGTGGCCCACATTATCTTGCTAGTCCTGCTCAACTGATGTCCAACTGTGAGCCATTTTATTGCCTAGATGTCCTGCAAATTCTTCACATGGCCCAAAAAATGTCTTCTGGTCCATTTCTATATAGCAGTTAAAATAAAACTAACAAGTAAGGATCTTCAAGTCCCTTTTTCTGGAAAAAGATTTACAGTATATTAAATAATAGTGTATTAAATATCAAACCCAGAAAATTAAAAAATAGCATTTTGCAGATTAAAAATTTACAGCAATATTGTTCTTACAACATTAGGGGTAATGTTAAGCTTTCATTGAGGACTGGTTTCCTGCAGAGGGGGGGACCTTTTAAAGTAACCACGTCTGCATTGATGCCAAGCAGCAATTCATAGGCTACAACATGAGAGTGGGTGTTCTTCTGAAGACTGTAGATCCCTGCCTTTGAGTTGATGTAACTGGAAACTTTGTCACGGTAACTTGTCTTAAGATGTTCAGGGCTTTGTATACTAATTAATTCCTATATATCGAATTGGGTTTGGTAAGAGACTGTCAGCCAGACATATCTTTTAGATGAATAATTCTTTGTAAACTATGGTATACTTGTTAGTGTCTCAGTTATTGTACTGTGTACCAACTGTAACTTCTGGACGTGTCTCAACTAAGCCTTACCCCAATAATAATTACAGTAATCCAATCTTGAAGTTCCCAATGCATGGATGAATGAATCATCATGATCTAGCATCTTCTGTCTACATAGAAGTAGACAGCAGATGCTCAACCATAGGTGTCACCTGGGCTCAATTGACAGTTAATGTCTAGAGCAATGCAATCCCAGCTTTTCTGCCTGATCAAATTCATTTTAGATTAATAATCCTTATCCAGTCCACCAGAGCACTCAAAACCATGCACAGCCTTCTAGAATGCCTATATTAGAAAAAAAATAGTATGATATATCTTTCAGAAATTCTCTAGTAACCTCACTAGTTTTTATAGATATGAAATTCCATCGGAGACAATGCATTTTCTTGGTCTGTCTCACATTACAATTGTTAGGCACTGGCCTATAATCTTCCAATTCTAATCTTTGGAAATAGCTCTATCTGAAGTTAAGAGCGGAATCACTACATAAAAGTGCTACAAATATTCAAAATCTCTGGAGCCAAACCAGGAAAAAACTGTGGTAAAAGTTTTAGAGATGACCTTAAGGAAACTAAGAAGAGACAGCAGCTATAATTGCCTATATCAATAAACATATAGTAGTTCCAGTAAAGCTTGTGGAACTGATTCCCTGGTATGGCCTATCTCAAAGCACTGACAATGATACTAAAAGCTGCTGTGAGATCAAACAGGAGCAACAGACTAAACTATTTCTGTCCCTTTCCCAGCATAGGTCACACATTATCACAATCAAACAACCCGATTAATATATTTTGCATAAGTCTTCTGTACTTAAAAGAAACTCAGCTTGATTCATGTGATATAAGCATGATATAGAAGTTATATCTAGTAATAGTGCTGAAGATGAATAAAATTAACTTTTTTACTAGGGATGTATTTAAATGAAAGAATAAAGCAAGAGATCCCTGGTAGTAGAACAGGAGTGTCAAACTTGCGTTGTCACAGTGGCATCGCATGATGTATCAGGACTTTCCCCCCCTTCTCTATACCAGGTGTGGGCGTGGTCAGCGCGTGACATATCCAGCCTGTGGGCCGCGAGTTTGACAGCCCTGTAGTAGAGGGATTGCCAACATTTTCAGCTACTTTGACAGTATGTTGGATGCATATATGGATCTTGTGGATCAAAGGATTTATTTATTTGCAAACTTGTTGCCAGAGTGGTACAGCTCAATGGAAAACAAAGAAGTCAAATATTGAGGATCTTTCAGCACCACACAGGAATCTCTACTTCCATATAAAAAATAATAAAAAGTTACATTAAAAAAAAGGAATCTCTACTTCCGGAAAACAAAAAACCATGAAGTTCACTGATTTATCTAATTAATATGAATACTATCAGCTGCATTGATTTCTAAAGGCAAACCATAAATTAAGTAAGGTTTATTGTTATTTTAAGAAAAAACCAGGGTAATATAAAATCTATTGAGACAATACAATCCTTTTATCAAAATATTTTACATAAAATATTAAAAGACTAGTGACCAAATTAATCTTTGCTATAAGTACTTGCATGTCTGTTTAAAAAAAGAAATGAAGCAAAACAGCTAGCACACAAAAAAGATGAATGACTTTCAGAAACTTATTCAACCTTGTAATGATTACTATTATCTCAGTCATTCTGATATTCTTTATTGCTTAAACATGAGCAATTAAGACAAGAAGTATACTGATGTGGGAGTAATAACTGTCAGAAATAAAATGTGAAGATAGGAGCAGGTAATATCACAAGAAAATAATAGATAAAGTGTGTGTGTTTTACAGCACAATTTACCACAGAGCACATCCATGCATGTGGATGTGTAAAAAACATGTAAAAATAATTAGGTTTCACCAGGGTTACCCAGTGTTATTAGAAAAACTCCTACACATTAATCTATTTCCATTCATGCACGGTAACACAAGGTTTATTCCAGTTTTTTAAATATACAGCTCTAGTTTCTAGGAATTACTGTATGCCACAATTTCTTCAATTACTTCATCTGGAATTTTCTTTTCTGCTATTCTTTTTATTCTGTTTTAATCAGATTAGATTAAGAAATAAACCCCAGCCTTTAATAAGGCATTAATAAATAGAAAATAATAATACTGCCTAAATTTTCTGATTTGAAAGCAACTTGGATTAAGCCTGATAGAAAACCTCCAAGGAACAGATTGGTAAATAAATAATGATGATGAGAAAGACAGGCAGCAAGAGGAAGATGAGGAAGTTGAGAAATTATTCTTCTACTCCCATATTGCTATCAAGACTGACTTAAAGGAGACTTTGTCTTAATGCTACATTTGCAAGTTAACATGCAGAGACAGATAAATCCTCCTAACTAGAAAATTCCAAAATCTGCATACAGCACAACAAAATGCCTTCACTTTTTTATACTGACAAGAACACCTTTAACTTCCACCTAGACATTTCATTTTCTTCTTTGATAAATTCAGGTAAATGTTAATCTTGAAAAACATTCATCATAATTATCATAATTGCCAGTTAATTTATATTTTTTCCTTATACAAATTCCATAATATGAATTTAAACTGAAATAGTTTTAAATGTTTCACAAACAATTTACAAGCAGTTTCTATTAAATATTTTACATAATATATTACATAGCCCTCCATTTTAAGCTCGATCTGTACATACGCACATCTGTGCCTCCCAAAAGATTCTACTTGCTTAGCATACAAATATGCATTGTATGTGCATTCATGCATCCTCCACCTCTACCCTTTTGGCAACCCTGAATTACGTACCATGTTTCCTTGAAAATAAGACTGGACCTTATATTAATTTTTGCTCCAAAAGATGCATTAGGGCTTATTTTCTGGTCAGGTCTTATTTTTGGGGAAATACAGTAATAAATGCACCCATCTGGCTGACAATGTTAACTGGGGTTTATTTTGAGGGTGGAGCTTATATTACGAACATCCTGAAAAATCATGCTAGGACTTATTTTCCGGTTGGGTCTTATTTTCAGGGAAACAGGGTAGCTCTCGGACTGCTTGGATTGCCCTGAGAAGCTGCAGTCACCCTTGCCATCCTGTACCCCAAGACCCTTGCTACTTTGTTGTCCTGGTTGACCTTCATCGTCTTTTTGCTCCTGCTGTTGATGAGGTGTACCCGGTTTGGCCTGGCTGCTGAACCAAACTGGGCTGGGCTTTGACTGTGAAAAAAATAATTCAAAAGGAACCCTAGATCCATGGTATGCTAACATTTATGAAATGTCCTTGGTCACACTGAGCTTTGACAAAAAATATCGAATTTTTCTCCTTCTCCTCTTCCTCCTCTTTTGTGGAGTGCAAAATCCAGCCTTACCTAGGAACTTTTTGCAAAGGGGCTTTTTTTGGCATGCAACAGCTCTGGGGTTTGTTTTTGTTTTTTTTTGCAGCGTAAACACAGCTCCAAGTGTGTCCCAGTAGCTAGTCTGGGCATGCCTCATAAACCCTGGAACAAAGAAAATGGTAGAAAAGATCCAGCTAGGGTGGTGGAGCACTGAGTGATAAGAAGTGTAAAGGGCACAGATGGGGAGATAGGTATGCAGAGTTGAAACGCACCTGCAGTTGTAAGTGCAGGTGGGCGCCAAACATCCAAAATTTGATCACATGACTGTGGGATGCTGCAACAATTGTAACCTCAGGCACGGGTTTATAAGTCCCATTGTGACTTT